GTAAACATTAATAATGCAACAACAAATTTTTCACCATTTCATTGAATATTTTTTACAAAATGAGTAATATGCTCTTTATACATGTATGTGCAATATTGATGAATATTATACAACATACTAGCTTTTAGACAAGAAGGCATGGCCAATCTGTTTTTTTTTTTTTTTTTTTTTTTTTTTGCACATAGTAAGACAAACATATATAGGTCTTAATCAATCATCACTCCACTTAATTCTCTCTTTTGACCCAAACTAGCATTATATTCTTCATTCTTACTATTGGGAAGTTGATTATGGTGTCCTCTTCAGCTACCCCGCATGCATGGCCAAAATAGTCATTTCACATAGACTTGATTAGGTTAATTTTATGAGAGTGGTGATATTACCATTATACCATTTTTAATGCATATAAAAATGGCTAGATGTGTAATGCTAAAAATGGCTAACGTTAATGTGTACTTTCAAGATCAAATGGCAATGCTTAATGTGCAAGTATGAACTAATATGTAATACAGGGACCTGATGTGAAAAAATGCATAATGTCCAACACCAGTGACATTTTGTTTCTTGTATAATCTAATCTTGTCATAACTCACAAATTTTAAGTTTACCTAATATTAATTTATTACTTTAAAATCCAAATATGGTCATTTCATTACAATGTAGCTTATTTTGACTATTAGAGTAGTTATGACATGTATAGCTTGAATAAAATGTGCTTAAAATACAATTACATAGTAATCGCAGATTATATATATTGCTTTTAAGAAGAAACTAATCTCAAAGGCTATTTGAAGGATACGACAGATTTATTTCGTAACTTATTCTTAGCCATTACATCAAACACTTGTAGTGCATCTTTAAATGACCCTTAGCACTACCAATTTCCAGCAATAAGACCAACTACCCAGAAGAATTAAAACGATTAAGAATCAAAGATGAGTTAAAACTATTAATATTAATTTTGAAAAAAATGGAACAATTTATACTGAAATTTATTTGGAATCCAAACCAAAATCGAATCATAAAAAATTAAAACTTTGATGAAAAGTGGGTTGAGACAGAAACTGTTGCCAGCATGCATTACCTGAGTAAGTGACAAAATAAGTGATAAGAAATGCTCTAGTGAACCAATGAAGGGGTACAAAATCGTCAATTTTTCTTAGAGTCCCGTCGATATGGTGGAAATCATTCTTCGTTCTCCTAAAAATGTTTCCAATAATAGTGGTTTGACCATTAAGCGAATGCATAAAAGATAGAGAAAAGAAAAGTCAGGATTTTAATTTTCAACAAATACTAGTGGCGAATCCAAGATTCAAACTAAGGGGTGTCCAACTCGAATGATATAACATAATAAAATATTTAAAAAAATGATTTTAGATTGAGTCATAACTATACGATTATATACATGACACATATAATGATATAACAATCGTTAGAAAACCATAATCATCTCTAACATTAATATACAAAATTCACCAAATTATAAATGAACACCACATACAAACTAAACTAATAAACAAACATATATTTGATATTGTCTTAAATTTTTTCTGAAATTTTTTAACATCGCTATAAACTAAATAAATTATCAAATAAACTAAGATATTATAGGCAATTGATGAAAGTTTGGATACAGAAAACTTTATTTTCTTTATACTTTAAATTACAGAGGCTACATTGCTTTCTAGACTTTACCATTTTATAGACTTTGACTTTAGCTAGCTATAGCAACATTTTTTTATATAATAATTATATCTATATCTACACACAAACACAACTACATGCTAAGTACCAGATAGAGTGAGTAAGCCAGACCTAAAAATAGAAGAGAGTGGAGAGAGATGAGAGTGGACAATAGAGAAGCAACACTTTGATTCCAGTCGTCGGGGACAGAAAGCGACAGAAGGTGGCGGAGATAGACAGCGAGCGGCAAGTAAAGCCAGAACCGTCGAACCAACCGACTTGTTTTACTGATGGAGAGGATCGGCAAATCAAAGGCACCAAGGTTGGAGTTAATGACCGATCAGCGAAGCTACGTGAAAGGCAGCCCCGGTGACCCAAAAAAATGTAAATTTTGTTTTTTAGGGCTTTGCCATTTCAGTGTTCTTTTCTAATACTCTACATGATTTGTAAGATTTTAAAGAGATTGTATTTATAAAAAGTTTTCTTTTTTATTACCCTGCTAGCTGTATGTTACTGAATTTAAAAATTCCTAAGATGTTAGAAATTTTCTAAATTGTTTCATGTTGCCTCACAAAGTTACAGGTGTCCATTTTGTGATTTCCACCGGTGTCCCTTTCAAATTTACTATATAATCTGTAAAGAGAATTAAATAACAAGGGGTGTCCATGGACACCCTTTAGTTCAACGTAGGTTCACCTCTGGCAAATACTAACATTACCAACGAAAATTGGTAGAGGCTTCCTAGAGGATGTGTGTCATTCTCCGTCGAGGTTGTGAGTTGGAGGAAGAGATAGGGTAGGAGGTGTACACTGAATGCCTAAAACAAAATAAAAAACGTAGGGTGAGCAAAATCGAACCCGAAAACCCAATAACCGACCCATGTTCACCCCTACAAAAAAAGGAGATGAGGTTTTTAGAATCTTTCAAACAAAAGAAAAAGGTTTAAATTTTTAGGCAAAACGGGGTGTTATTTTAATTAAAAATAAAAGAATGTTGTTTTTTGTTAAAAATAAAAATACATTGCTATTTTAGGTTCAAAATAAAAATATGCTTTTTTATTTATAATAAAAGTACAGTGAAATACATTCAAAATTGTTAAACATAATTTTTCCATAAAGTTAACGAAAATATATATATATATATATATATATATATATATATATATATATATATATATATATATATATATATATATATATATGGTGAGGAATTAGGATTTATGAAGTTTAGGGTGTAAAGTTTAAAAACACAAATAGTTTTATTTGTTATGAAAATTGTTTGAAACTATAATATATTTGTATAAAAATTGAAAACTTGTTTCAACACTTTTGAGAATCTTAGAGCAGTGGGTATGGGACTAGACAACGACGTTTTTACCTACGTGGACATGCTTTAACGGCTTCATAACATGGGAAACACCATTTCCCCATGGTGTTATGGTGCTTCTCGTTGCCATGATGACATTTTGCAACGGGAGATTAAGCCAATGAAATCATTCTACTTCCCTTCTCTCTTTTTCTCTCTCTACATCTTAACTTGTTATAACTTGTTATAATATGGGGAACACCATTTCCCCCATGTTGTTATGGTGGTGTTATGGTTGAGGTGGCATATAATATTTGGTGTTATAACTTACCCATACCGAATGCTCTTAGAATATACCCAATATGTATTTTTTTAATCGTTTAAAGTAATATACTTATTAGGAAGTTTTTTAAATACATAAATAATTTTATTTATAGTTAATAAAATGTATGAATTATTGAAGTGTTATTTTTGAAACGGCAACTTGAGTTAACAGAAGCCATTCATATATTTTAACAAATGTTCCGGGACGGAATCATCCAACATGGCACACATGACCTCATAGAGATTCCAAGAAAAAAAATCCCCACAAGAGGAACTATTAAGAGGGTTTGGTTCAAACTCTCCACATTAGACCTCACATAGTTATAAAACTCAGTATCTCTTTCTAGTTAGGTCGAAAGTCATTGACATGAATTATTGGACGGATAACAAATTAAAAATATTATGTTTTAGTTTCTTAAGTTAATATTATTTAAAAAGTAAATACTATTTTTATGACTTAAACAGGTAATAGTAGTGGCTAAATATCGATTTTAAAAATATTTATTAATATACAAAGTTAAACTCTAATATATTACTTAAACACTTATACATAAAATTTTCATGAGAATTATATAATTAGCTACGTAACTCTTAACATTTATTAAATAAAACACGTAAATCATGAATTTAACTAAATTCAAGCTCAATAGATGATCAAAAAACAAAAAACATTTAATATTCATAACCAAGCACATATTTAAAAAAATAATATATTTGTAATATAAAATTAATAAAAACTTGAAAACTTAAAGACCATATGCATGTCTTTGTTTTCTTACTGTAGAGCCAAGTAAAATAATATATTTGTAATATAAAATCACTAAACAATTAAAGACCATGCACCTCTTTAAAATAATTTTGTTTTCTTCCTATATAGCAATCGTACGTAGAACCTGACATTCAAAATTTGAAATCTAAACATCTAGTTAATATACATAAATCTCTTATTTTGTCCGAAATATTTGTCATTTCTTTTTTATGTAGCACGCCTAAAGCAAATATTTGTCATTTCTTTTTTCCTGTTAAAAGCATGTCTAAAAGCTCAGCCACAAACCCTTAGATTATTCAGCTTTTACACAAAGCAAGCAATAATTTTTGACTTTTCATTGGAAAAAATGTGTATAAAATATTTGTTTTGTAAAAATTATAATTACTCATAAACATAATATAAATTATGTTAATTAAAAATACATTATTCTTATTAGGTATGAATTATTTTATAATAACAAAAAAACTCATCTCTATCATGTACATTGATGTTTTTATGAGCCAATAAACTCATCTCAATCTCAAATCCATACATTATATAAAGGTTAAAACTCAAATTCGCACATGTCTACAACCATTTTGAGATCTAGTTTCCAGAAAGCAAGAGCAAATGAAAACCTACACAACTGAAGAGTTTAATTTCTAAAAATAAAAAACAAATGAAATTGAAGACCTCGTTAATCAGAAACCCATATATATGTTTCAAGATATTAATGTTTATTGAAACAAAACACAAACAAAAATAATCTATCATTAGGATCTGAAAAGCAACAAAAAACAAAATAAACGTGACTAGTTACACCCAAATCTAACTTGCAAAAACCCTATATCTAACTCCATATATGAAATAAACATCAAATGTTGAATTTGTCTTCTACTTTACATTTACAGATGTTTGAGAGACTTTAAATTTACATTTGCACATCTGAAATATCGAAAATAAAATAAAAGCAAATAACACATTCACTTATTAAATTTTTGGGCCTAAAGTACTTTATTATCAAGACATGAAACACGAAGAGCACTAAAAAAATACAAAATCCTAGAACATATACAGAAACCAAAAAGTGATCATGAAAATCAGGTCGATGGTCAGATTTGATAAAAAAATTTGTGAGCTTTGATACATATACACATACGGTCCATGAATTTTATCCTCTATAGATGCTTGTTTAAGGTTTTTTTTAGAGATCCTTCTCCTGCAACCAACATTTAAACCACAAAGAAAAATCTAAATTTAACATCAAATACAAATACCCCTAATTAATAGAATTTTTGACCAATAACATTTACTCCCAGATTGTGCAGGTCCATGTCCATTTGCCAAACCAAGAATTTATTAAATTCCTTCTTTTCTAATTTTACACAACAATAACCCCCTTTCATCATACAGTCCCTCCAAAAACCAAAAAACAAAGAAGCTAGATGAGATTATTATCTCAGTTAATTAAGTGATTTAAACAATAAAGGCAAACAAAGAAGCTCATCAAAAGGACTGTGCAAAGCATTTCATTACCAAAACTTAGTATTTGACTTACGGCCTCACTTCTTTTCATTAATATCACAATATTTATCAACAGACTTTTTAGGTTCACTTATTGCTTCACTTTATGCGATGGTTAATCCTGCACAACACAAAATATTGAACCCCTGATTGTAAGGTAAAATAAAGAGTCAAGAAAATTATCAAGAAATGGTCTACATGATGTATCATAATCAGTAATACAACCATTCTTATTGTAGGAAACAAAGACACAACACACAGACATACACATAGAGAGCAAACATATGACACATACCATAAGTAAAGTCATAGAAGTGCCTTTCGAAAATCCACATACTCCAGCTTCATTAAAGACTTCTTGAGCTTGCAAAATACAAATAAGTTTACTGGAAACCTGAGAGGTAAATCAAATAGTTTTATATCTGGGAACAAAAGTTCCAAACTAAGATATGGAGCTCAAAACGTTAGGGCTTTACCATGAAAAGTGGCCAAGAAGATCCATGGGCTCGCTGAAACAAAAATGGTTGTTCAAAGGTTAAACACACACATACATACAAAAAACTAATTAACAACCAGAGAGAAAGTATTTATGGAACTTTAAGAAGACAAACACACACTTACACATGATTAGATGAACGGATTAGTGTAAGAGAGACCTCGATGGTGATGGCAGTGTGGGCTTCACGGGAGTCCTGAAAATCCAGTTAAATCGTAAATTAGAAAGAGATGAAATCGATAAAATCAATGATGGTGGTTTACACGGTGGTGTGTGGTGGTGAACGTTGTCGGATAGGAAGAGAGAAGGAGGAGGGTGTTGCCTTATCTGATGTAGATGACGAGGGCGACAAAATTCGATCTAGGTTTGTGGAGAGAAGATAAGAGATTCGATCTAGGGTTTGTGGAGAGAAGAAAAGAGAAATATGTGAGGTGGATTGAACATTAGAAGACTTGACGAAGGCAAATGGGCACTATATCCAGGATTTGTGAACAGAGAATGCAAAGATATGGGAGAAATACCGAGAAACGGGAAGGAATTTGTCAAAATAATAGACGATAGATGTGAAATCTTACCATTATAAGCACCAAAATTTTCAAACTACTGAATATTTCTATATATGTTGCAAGTAGAACCATATCAAGAACCACATGTAGTTAGTCTTCGTGGTGGCAATTAGGGCTTTTTAGAGAAAGAGAGAGATGCCAACAATGAAAAGGGTAAACTGTAACGGTGCTCTGGTGGGGGTTACTAATGGCGGTGAAATAACACAATCTGATATGCTTGATCAAATCCCCCCTCTATCCCCACTAATATGAACCAAAAGTCGCCGATAAAGGAGATAGTTTATAGGGATCCGGTGGTGGGGAAGAGAAGGTGGCGGTAGTATTTTAAGAAGAGAAACAGAGGAGAGAGATCGACAGAGAGCATCCATGGCGCATCTAAAACAGAATAACATCGTGTAGGCAACAACGATTCTCTATTTGTTGGAATTGTTTATGTTGGTGGTAGCAACGTTTCTTTATAAACAAAAGAGAAACAAGAGAAAATGACTCAAATCCCCTATTTCAAGGAACAGATTGGGAATAAGTCTTCCCGATTCAGTTTGATTCTCATCAGTTAGGTGGAGATTTTTAAGGGATATAAGTGAGACTATGTATTCAATCGTTTGACTAAATAAGATTCAATGCATAAATTCATTGTACAACTTGCATTAGATTTTGTACCTCTTAAAATTCAGCATTTGACGCTAAATGCTTATTAATGTATATATATATTATATATATATATATATATATATATATATATATATATATATATATATATATATATATATATGGAATTGTGTTGCCTAGTTTGTTTATGGTTAGTCCAAAGAATTGATGGAGTGGTGTTATGTTTGTTGCAATACTACATCACTACTTTGCATGTTATCTCAACTTTGCTACATTAACCGTTCATTTTACTATTTAGAACGGATGGATTGTCATAACATTTTTTGAATTACAGGAAAAAATATTGGGAACAAATATTAAATTTTGATTTTCCCTTTCATCTACAAGGAGTTGTCAAGTTTTATGTGTTGCCATGGTTAGGGGCGATGTTCCCATGGCAAGCTATTACCTACCTAAACAAGTCGATGAATGGCACTGCACTCCCTCCAGCCTCATAATGAGCGTCATACATATCTACCAATTAAATTTGGTGGTGAACAAGTCTGGTGGCAAAAACATTCATGTCATGTTAAATCCTCATCAATGGCCAAAGTTTCAAAATGGAGAAGCGATGGTCAATTACCTAAGAAATCGTAATTTTGTAAGTAGGACTAAGGAAGTAAAAATTGGGATCTTATATAGAATCATTTTCCGTTTTATAAGATCGTGATCGTAAATCGAATCAGATCGTAAGATCCTATCAAAAGTATTTTAAAATATAAAAAATACATTTAAATCCATTTGTTAACCATTTAGTTAACAATAAATAGTTTAAAACATAAAAATGCATTATCCAATACATCATTTAACCATAAACAATTCAAAAAGGATATTCTATGTAGTTTGTTTAAGAAAAAATATTTTAACTTAAAAAAAAATTGTAATGATCATACAATCGATTCTACGATATGATCATATGATCCTACCGCGATCTTACAAAAAAACGATCATATTAAGATCATGATCGTTTTACCTAGGTTAGATCGTATGATATTAAGATCATGATCGTTTTACCTAGGTTAGATCGTAAGATCATACGATCCTGCAATCCAGATCGTGATTTTAACAACCTTGAGTAGGACGCGACATCAATATTTTACTCCTAAAAAGATATAGAAACGAATAAACAGAACATAGATTTAGTACCAAACTTGTCGGTTTTTATATACTTTTGCGTATACACAAATCATGATACTTTTTTGCCCATATACAACCATATTTTTAGTACAAAAGTCATCAAAATTTACCTTCACATATGATTAATTATGAAATGAAACAGATGTCATAAACTTAAGTTATTTTTCCACCTAAAATGAGACAAAGGTTGACTTATAAATAGTTTGATCAAAATGTTGGAACAAACACCCAAAAGTCATGTATTTCAAAACACCCTTTGTTAATAACAAAAAGTAAAGTAAAATATATGTATCATAAAATTTATGTTTATGCAAATGATGTTATAAAAAAATATAATTTATCACCCTTTTGTTGGCATTGTTTCACGAGTTTATAAATGTGAAGTGAAACACATTTATGATTAAAAGTAAATTATGTAAATGAATGCAAACGAATAGTACATGTAACAAGTAAATGTAAATAAGAGATCGACAAATATATATATATATATATATATATATATATATATATATATATATATTATCAAGTCAATTAGAAAATAATATTAAAAATACAATATTCAAGATATTCTTTTTACATAAAAGAAAACAATCTCCAACAACAAAAAAAAAGTATCCATTATCAAGTCAATTAGAAAATAATACTCATTTCAGGGTTAAAAAAAATACAATATTCTAGATATTCTTCTTACATAAACAACAAAAGAGTCCGCAAAAATTACAATATTCAAGATATTCTTCTTACATAAACAAAAAAATAATCCTTAATCATATAAGAAGCTCATTAGATTTCATCTTACTTATTTTGTTTAATGCTAGGTAATATGCTACAAGTTAAACAGCAAAAAGGCAAAAGGATTTCTCTTTTAACCCATATCCAACTCAACAATAAAATAAAACAATTTCTTTTTCTTTCAAAAGAATTTTCAACTTGGTATCGGTCTTCACCACGTTCCAATACTGTTTAGCTTTATGTTACGTTAATCTCATACAAAATTTTAGAATATTAATTGGGTTTGATTCTTTGGTATAACCGTCATAACAATATAATATTTTATTTTCTTTCACAATTTTCTTCAAAAAATTTGCATCATAGTGGTCTTCTCCACTCCATCCATCCCTAAAGATTATCACGTAGGATTTATGGTTTGATTCGAATGCTTTGAGTACTTTCATAAAAGACTTCTCTCTCGATTCAAAATGATTTTAACTAGTTATTGGTGTAGAGGTGGATGTCTTAATGGAATCAACTTTTCCTATAATGATTAGATCAACAGTCTATAGTGTTTGTCATGGAAGTACAATGGTATGATAAGAAAAAATTCAAATTATTTCAGAGTGTAATGATGTAAGAAAACATGAACATAAAACTAAAAAAAGTCATTTTATTCTTGCATCTAGGCCTAAATCATATATTTTAGAACTACAAAAATAATTTTAATATCTTAGGACAGCACATATATATAAAAAGAAAAAATAATTCATGTCTTGGTTTTAGAACTTTTAAGATAGTATGTCATGAATTCTTCAAATAATTTGATTTGCAGAAAACTAAACAATAATATTACAAAGTAAAATAAAGAAATAAGATTTTACCTTTAAGGACAACAACAATATTTCCGAGACCACTCATTCCAATAGTTAGATAACCACCATTGGTTATCATCTTCTACATTAAAAAAAGACAAATTGTTCAAAGAAAAGGAGCCCTCCCTCCCCATCTTCTCTCCATAATCATAACTGAAGAAAGAAAAAAAAAACATACTTTCTCACCAATTCGAATTGAAAAAGAAAAAGATCGAGTAAAATACTGTCATTGTTTTTTGTGGAACACGAATTTAAGTCGTCACTTTCCAGAGAAGATACACAAAACGAAAAATTCATTTTTGACTGAATCAACCGAACATGCGAATGTGCGATGCAGATTTAAGATCCAAAAACAATTCATTCTCATTACCGATATATACAATAGAACTCCACTGAATTTAAACAAATCCTAAAAATTTCGATAAGCTCATATATTAAAATCACCACATCGAACTTACAGTTTCTGTGCTTGAGCTTCTTTTCTCTGGTTCTTGATTACGCGGCGACAAAGCAGATGGCTACAGTATCGCTGACACTCTTCTTCTTGAGCAGTCAAAAAGAAGATGGCACAGATGGAGACAGGCGTAGACAGGACTTCCAAAGAGGTACCTGAATCCCCGATTGATGCGAGGTTGAGAGAGGCGACGGACGCGAGAGGCGCATATACAAGTTTAGGGTTTCTTTGTCAAACTTAAATACCTCGTGAACAAAGGTTTTAATATAGACAAAAATTCCATAAATGGTTTGAAAATTCTATCCTTTATATTTGCTTTTTTTTTTTTTGTTTATTCTTTCATTTTTTTTATATTTATATTAATGTTTTTAATTAATAAAAAAAATGTTTTTTTACTCTCCAAGAATAATTTGCAATATTCCATAAATGGTTTGAAAATTCTATCCTTTATATTTGCTTTTTTTTTTGTTTATTCTTTCATTTTTTTTATATTTATATTAATGTTTTTAATTAATAAAAAAATGTTTTTTTACTCTCCAAGAATAATTTGCAATATTCGCAACGCCATTAACGGCGACAACCACTATTCGCAGCAGGGGAGGAACACGAACGAATTAACTAGGAGAAATCATGAAAATAACTTAAACCAAAAAACTTACAAAGCTAGTAATCTAATTCTTAGAAATTTTCGTAACATTTCGTTTATTATATTCAATAACACAAGAATTCAAAAATAAATAGACAATAAATTTTGGCACTTGACAACTTTTGTATCTTTAAGTCTCCACTACGGACCGACCATTGACATATTAACATTTTAGTGAGAAAAAATAAAAGAGAAAAACAAAGAGAAAGAGAAAAAAACATAAAACTTATAGATTTGGCAGAGAGGAGAAATGGAGAGCTGTCCAGCGGAGGGGAGACACCAAATTCGGAAACCTTGGACCAGAGAGACGACAAAGTGGTGAGCACTTCGGCGACGGCCACATAGACGTTTATTTGGTCTAAGGTTTTTGAGTTATGATGAGAAATCTGGCGGAGGTGAGCACTCCGGTCTCTCGTTGTTGTTATGTTTACCGGTGAGCAATATTTTTCCGGCGAGAAATCTTTTTTTCAATTTTAGTCTAGGGTTTTGTATTTTATCAAATATTGAGTTAATATGTTGATATTTTAATAGTCTTATGGTTGTCTATAGTTTCCTATTTATCATATCCCGATTTCTTTGAATTTGGTAGTGATTTTTTCAGTAAATTTCTGGATTTTGTCAAAACAATATACTTTCGTAATTATCAGTTGAAATAGTCAAACGAAATTAATTTTCTGGGGTTCAGAGTTCTTATTTGAACATTTTTTTAAATTACATTATATATATATACATATATATATATATATATATATATATATATATATATATATATATATATATTATAATATATATTATATATAATATGCATATGTAATGAATAAGGGCCAACGAAGTATGTGAACAAATAAAACCAAATAACTCTTATGTATATAACTAGTATAATCCAAAAAATCATGGGGGGCCATGTCCCCTTTACCCTGTAGAGGATCCGCCCATGATTCGCGGCGACATCCAAAATTCGCGTTTTGTGTTGCCACTAAAGGGATGTGATAACGATATGTGTGAACTCTGATCTTGTAACCCTAATCGTTGATTGTTGGCGTACATCCACTGGCTAAAGATAATATCATTATAGGCGACTTCAATAGCGGCGAAACATGTCACCGCTAATGCTTGAAAAAAAGAACCACAAAAATGTGATGGGTTTCGAGCAATACATCATTCCTATGGTGTACATGCAAACCCTAATAGCTTTTGGATCTAGTTTGTCTAATGAACATGCAATTGAATTTCCAAAGCTATAAACCCTAGATCTAATAAACTATAACTGAAATTAGGGTTTAGATCTTACCTTTGATTGTTATATAGCAATAACAATCAATCCTTGGCTTCAGAAATCTTAGTGCCTCAAGTGTTGCACCTCTAATGGAGTCACAAACACCACTAAGCAACTTGGATGAAGAGGGAGGAGAGAGGAGGCACCAAAAACGGCTGGAAACCCTAATCCAAGTGTTAGCCACGTTTTTGGTGCCCAAGGGTTCCTTATATACTTAGGCTATTAGGGTTATCCAACAAGGAAACCCTAATTTGACTGCTTAAGCCCTAAGCAGCCCATGGACCCCTTCTGGAACATGCCTTGGACGATTTCTAATGGGCTTCCCCATAGAATTCGTCCAACCTATTATTCCAAGGTGATCCATAGCCCAATTGCAATTATCCTATAATTACAATTCTAGTCCCCTAAGTTTAATTAATCTCTTTTAGTCACAAAATTAATTCTTAATTAATTCTTGACTAATATTAATTAAACAATATGATTTCTCCTTTAATATATTATTCTTATAATATATTAATAAATCATAATTAAACCTTTCTCTCCTTAATTCATCCTACATATTGCTATGGTGAAGGCAACCCAAAAGGACCATGCTCATAATCGGGTCAAGTACATACCAAAATAGTTATGGACTTAGACACTAATCCAACAGTCTCCCACTTGGATAAGTCTAATAACTATTTTGCATAACTTCAGAACCTGATCAGCAATCGTAGCTTTCAAAAGCCGCTGTCAACTCTGATCTTATCAGATACACGTGCCCTTTAGATAAGGAATCATATATTCCTCCATTCTCAAGATATCGTATAGACACGAGACATGGATTTAAATCATTCTCTCTGTCTATGTATTGTTTCCCGACATCTGATTTATGACGACTGACAACAGACTACAATTGAACACATCAACTTAGTCCCGGCTTGGCCAAGCGCTTAGGGTGTCATCACTAAATCATCGAGGGGCCCACAGATATCGCTTTTATCCCACTTTGGGTAAAAGAAATGGATAAACTTTGACTCAAATGCTCGCTTGCACCTACTGATCGAATCACACACAACAATAAGTTTTATAACACCAAGTTACTGGTGCGTTTACTTATCATCAATGTGCAACCGCCCAGCAAATAACAACTCACACGTCTCGGTTTCAAGAATATACAATGTTATCATCTCACTAATCACCCGTGATAATCCATGAAGTGATTCAAGTGAGCGTGGGTTTAATCCAATACTTTAATCTTATCAAAGCACTCATGAACTCTGCAGCAAACTTGTGCTATGTCTAAACACTTTAGACAATCTACAGACAAATTCATGACAGTCTTCCTTCATACTTACTTCCAACGTATGACCGACTGTGGAGGTTCGAATAACCCAGTTATTCTGGAAGTCAAAACATGCAAAGTGAAACACAATAATAATATTAATCCTATATGGCCCAAAAACTTTTGAGCGTAAATAAAAACACTTTTATTTAAACACCATATTGATTACTCATTATTCATTGCTTACTGTTTCAGAAAATCAACTTATTACTCGAATTATAACCACAATTGTCCCATGCTCCAAGCATGCACACTTTGGTTTCCTATGGTCCATACTTTGTGAAATAGATCAATTGAAAAACTTTTCCAATGAAACTCATTTCACAATCCCCAATCCTTATTATTAGTATAAGAATACCAAATTCTTGCCACTTTTAGAATATGTCAGATTCTAACATTTTATGCAATGATTCTTTCGTAATGTCATAGCACAAAAGTCACCAAGACCCGGCTAATGAAATTACAAGGTATTCTATCGGAAATTGTTACAAGACAATTCCATAGACGTGAAGTCTCACATCAAAGTACATTCCTTTGAACATCCTTCTCGCATAAAAGTTTCTAATCTAGACATATTTCTTAATATCCAACTCCCATTAATGGAAACATTTCCATATTTCCATATGACAACTCATTCTTAATAGAATCTTATATTCATAATAATGTCAATATAGTCCATCCAGTACTATACTTCCAACTACTCACAAGCGACAAATCCTCAGTGAACCTCAGATCGTCCTTTGATAGTTGTTTAATTATTTTAGTCAAAACCGATTCTAGTCCCTTTTTCCCTCTTAATGCCCTAGGCATTTGGAAAATTTTAGAATGGTCAAATATTATAGCATATGCAATCGATCCTATACCCAAAGCGTATTGGACACGATGCATAATGTCTCACATAAAGACGTAATACTTTATCATCCTTTGCCATAATATTTTATGTGCCATGTTCCCACAATTTGAACTATGAAGAGGGATGCCGTAATCATAATCGAATTTTGAGAATGCACTATGTATCCTTGACTAAATTTTATTAACATTTCTCGATCTAAGATTTTAGATTTTGAAACGAAGTATAATATTCTCTCCCTTAATTATAGCAAAACAACTTTTCAACCCTTGCAACTTTGCAAAGTGAATCTTTGTTTTCTATAATTAATATTGCTAACTTGCAATACTGAAAATAATAATCATGCTCCCACTAACACGATGATTATTAACATACAAGCATAACACTTATGCTCCCACTAGCTTTGACATATATCTAGAAAACATCTGAATTTTCAGAAAACAATGCTTATTGAATTCCTTAAGTTCATATTTCTAAATACTTAATGCTTTGATAAGCCTTTATCTAAGCTCATACACCTTTGCCTTAGAAAGCTCACATGTGTGTCTAAAGAAATTCAGAACTTATGTTACTAAGTCCCAAATGTTCAGACTAATTGCCAAATCTCACAATTCAAACTATGAAGAGGGATGCTGTAATCATAATCGAATTTGAGAATACAATTTTCACAATTGCAATCTTATTAAAATCTCTCTTAGTGAAAGCATTTCCTTACAATCATTTTCATGAAGGAGGGAAACCTCATGCCACTTAGATTTTAAAGTGTATGTGTTCCCATCCATGTGAATTTGCCAAAACCAAAGTTTGCGACAAATCCAAACTCATATGGACCGAACGTGATCAATCTCGATTTCTTGCCTCATGGTAACACGAGTGCCCACCATGTCTTCCAAGTGGTTTAGCAACTCATCCTTACTTATCAATGTACTTTCCATTGATCAAGGTGCTTTGTCTTTATGCATTCACATGAGAACTCATAGAACTCACATGCATAATTGACTCAATTGGAATAGCACAGAAAAAGAGTATGTCATCCACGATAGGCTCTAAACCTCAAGTCGTGTGCTAGTGATGATCAACTAGGTTTAACTCTTGATTTGTTCTTGAAACCTTTCAAGACCATTAAGACTCCCACTGACTCCTTGACATATAAGATTCTCTTGTCAAGAAACATTCCTTGACAAAACAAATATTCAAGAGTTAGTGTAGTTTTTATCAAGACTATCACTTCACATAATTGGTTCTAGTTGGTCTTTGTCTTATCCAAGACATCACAACTTACCAATCTCAAATGTGCAGGAATAAGAAGACTTTTTCCAATTCCACATTTGTTGAGTGTTATAAACCTACTAAAGACGTGTCACTCATGTCAGAATCTTGGAGTATGACTCTTAAGACTTGATATTGGAACGAAGTATGATTGACTTATTGATTTAACTATTTCCATAATTCTCGATTCCTCTTCTTAGACATGCAAATGCACTAAGACTCACTTAGAGGACCAATTGAGAAATAGTTCTTAATCATTAAGACCTATCATAAAACACAATAAAAGGTACTCTCCCTTCTTCTTAGAATAGAGAAACTTTTATCTTTCTGCCTACTTGATTCTTCTTATTCGTTTTGCTATTGATTGAAACTCTTTCGATCAACTCAGAATTATACTTAATCTTGTAAGTATAACCATATTTACTAAACTTTAGTAAATCATGATGAATATCTTTATCACTCTTGTGGTGGACTTGATCAACGCACAACCTAGTGTACTCGATCTCCTAGTCCTTCTCTTGAAACTTTGCCAAAGAATTAGTCTAATATCCAATTATGAAGTTTCTCATTCATCACGCAACCTAGTTCTATGATTCCAAGTTTCTGTCCAATTGAAACTTGGGC